CTCTCTCTCTCTCTCTCTCTCTCTCTCTCTCTCTCTCTCTCTCTCTCTCTCTCTCTCTCTCTCTCTCTCTCTCTCTCATATATATATATCACTAAGAGGTTAACTTGAGGTTATCTTGAGATGATTTCGGGGCTTTAGTGTCCCCGCGGCCCGGTCCTCGACCAGGCCTCTACCCCCAGGAAGCAGCCCGTGACAGCTGACTAACACCCAGGTACCTATTTTACTGCTAGGTAACAGGGGCATAGGGTGAAAGAAACTTTGCCCATTGTTTCTCGCCGGCGCCCGGGATCGAACCCGGGACCACAGGATCACAAGTCCAGCGTGCTGTCCGCTCGGCCGACCGGCTCCCAGAACAATCCCAAGAACTCTTTGACCCGGCCAGGATTCGAACCCATGCCGTCCAGGATCACCCCTAAACGTACACAGTACCGTGACCACCGGTACTGACGATCATTGGTCACGGTACTGAGTACGTTTAGGGATGATCCTGGACGGCATGGGTTCGAATCCTGGCCGGGTCAAAGAGTTCTTAGTGATATATGGCTTGCGCGTTCATGCAGCTTTCTCACATATATATATATATATATATATATATATATATATATATATATATATATATATATATATATATATATATATATATATATATATATATATATATATATATATATATATATATATATATATATATATATATATATATATATATATATATATATATATATATATATATATATATATATATATATATATATATATATATATATATATATATATATATATATATATATATATATATATATATATATATATATATATATATATATATATATATATATATATATATATATATATATATATATATATATATATATTATATATATATATATATATATATATATATATATATATATATATATATATATATATATATATATATATATATATATATATATATATATATATATATATATATATATATATATATATATATATATATATATATATATATATATATATATATATATATATATATTATATATATATATATATATATATATATATATATATATATATATATATATATATATATATATATATATATATATATATATATATATATATATATATATATATATATATATATATCTTTATTTATTTATTAATTGTTTTCGCCGATCTCTGTTCAAGGCATCATTTGTTTAAATACAGTCACCGTTTCGCTGCCTTCGATTTAGTCAGAGAATTAAGCGTATTATGACGTTAGTTCGCTTTACTCAGACTTTAGTTGGGCAATCTATAGCTTCTAATTCAACAAAAACCATGAGCCCATATGACGCGAGTGAAAGGGGTCAAGTCCATGACACTAAATGATCGTAAGACGTATTCAAAGTCTAATCACGTTCATTTTCATTAGTTGTGTATCCAGGACGGCTCCTAGTCTCTCAAGGCATGAGGACCCGAATGCAGCAGTGGACCTCAACGAACCGAAAGTTCCTACCTAGCTATATTAGTTTTAGCAAGTAGGGGAGCGGCTCTTCCGCATCACCTAGGCGCCACAGTACCTTGTCTATTGGATTTTAGTCTGATAACCATATCTACGGAACTAAGCAACATGGTTGGAAAAGTACATTTTTGGGTGACGAAATTAGTTCTGAAATTTAGTCATTTCACTAGCAGATAAATTTTGCAGAGATTCGATAACTGCAAATAGGAAAGACCAAAGCCATAATCCAGCATAATGACATATGCCAAACTAAAACATGTACAGTACAAGCTTTAATAATCAGACCAGTAGACTACAAGCTGTCAATGCTAAACTAAAATTTGGTTATAAATAAAACAAGCAGTTCAGCTTGTATTTAGACGCCAGTTATTACGATATAAAATATAATGTCCACTTGGGTAACACCAGCTGGTGGACAGGTCTCTACACTTGGGTAACACCAGCTGGTGGACAGGTCTCTACACTTGGGTAACACCAGCTGGTGGACAGGTCTCTACAATTGGGTAACACCAGCTGGTGGACAGGTCTCTACACTTGGGTAACACCAGGAACTTTGTTTTTTAATTTTCAGAGCAATGAATAATTTATGAAAGATGTTCAGGTCTATTTTTTGCAGAATTTCTGTTATCAATTGTTCTGAATTCTGAAGAAAACGTAATTTAAATAATAGCCTAATGAACACTATAAATAATAGCCTAATGAATAATGTAATAGCCTAAGCAACAGTTGGTGTATAAGTTTGACTCTGAATCCTGATTTAAAACACTATCTCTCAACGTGGATTACTAGACTGTAACCTAGTACAGAATGTAACAGTTATGAGAGAAACAATAGCGGCATTTCTCATCACATTCGGAGATCATCTCTCCAAATTGTTATAAGACAATAGGAACAAAAGGAATCTGCAGAAGGTCTATTGGTACACAGCCACTTCCTCTCGTGTTCGTTTATTTGTCTAACCGATGCTTGAAACTTTAAAGTTCGCTTGCTTTTATGTTATTACTTGAAACTTGTTCCACAGATCTCCACCACTATTTACTAACTTAGTGGTAGTAAATTTTTTGGCTTATTCTAAACTTTTATAATATTGTTAGATAACGTGTTCTACAGACCTCAACCCTATTTCCTATCTAGAGGCAACCAATTAATTTTTTGTTCTAAACATATAATTTGGTTAATTTATTTTTAAATCCTGTGTTGATAGTCTAGGATCTTATTAAAATTCTATTTCTTTAACCCCTTTTATCTAGTAGTACAAAACATCTATGTCATCCCTTACTCTATACACCCATCTAGAAAATGTAACACGTTTTCTTAACCTCTCTTTATAAGGAAGGTTCACAACAGCCCGAATTAACTAATCATTTTCTGTATAATACTATATACACGGTATATAGTATATAGATACTATAACATATGTTATAGTATATAGATACTATAACAGTTCCAAGAACTATTTTATATAATCCAAGTGGCAGGCTAAATTTGAAATATAATTTTAAAGATTTTTCTTATTAAGGCTTCAAGATATGAATATCTGATACATGTTCAATTGAACAGGTATCTGGTTGGTATCTGGTACCCGTTCAATTTCCTTGGAATCAGAACGGATACAAGTCACATCGTATACAAGACGGTTCACGTATGGATTTTAAAGTCTAACCCAAGCCAACCTAACCAAACCTATCCTAAACCAGCCAAGTCTAACCCAGCCTAAGGTAATACAGTCTAGCCTAACGATATACTGTATATATGATTTTGACCCTCAGAAGAGAAACTTTGTCGAACTGTCTTGTGTACTGTATGATCATACCTCTTAAGAACCTTTTAACTCTCAAAGCTCCCGGGTAACAGGCGAATTATATAGGTATTTGGGAGTTAGTCGACTGTTGTAGGATACATTCGGGAGAAGGTCAGTACTTTAGGGCACTTCGATTAGCCTAAGTACAGGTTTCCTATCCCCCTACAAGGTAAACAAAAATATTCTTTCAGATGCGATGCGTAACTACCTTCTTTATTAAGTCACTCACAGAATTGTCAAAGTTTGCGCGTTTATAGTGTCGTAGATTTACATTTTTATGGTTTCAAAAAATGGTTGAAAAAAACCGAGAGTATATTTTTTCAAATGTTTGTGTTTTTCCACGAGTATCGGTAGAATTTGCGATAATTAAGTAATTTACCCGTGTTGAGCTCTTAAATAACTAGGCTTCTACTGGTTTATCTAAGATGTACTTACCGATTGTAATGGATTCTATATCATCCCTTATCGATTTTATCTCCCTAAGACATGATTATCTGAAGACAGACACAAATGTATGAAATTATTAATGACTAGACTAGTCTCATGGATTCTATATCATACTGGCCTTCAAATTCATGACAAACCTGATTAGTTACCCAATCACATGTCTGGAAGGAGTCGATAATACGAAACTAATTATACAATTGAGGCAAAGCGAAATCTGGACTTGCCGTTTCGTCTATCAGCATATTTCCATGCAGAAAGAGCCATACATCTATAAGTGACCGACAATAGGCGATTGTGTTGCTACTTCCCAAGGGTTTTAAGTATCTCTAGCATACACTACCTGCTGCTGAATATCTGATCACACCTAAACTGTCCCCCAAAACTACTCTCACCACATATCTCCATGTATTTGAATGCGAACAAAAACTAGTACATCTCACCAAAAACAGCTATCACTTAATAGTTCACTCCTACTGCAACTTTGTTAATAGTACTAACATGGTTGAGGATCCAGCAAACTCCTTTTATATTATTAAAACTGCCCAGCCCGTATTGTGATTCTGAGCAGCACTGGATGGGAAGGATCAAGATCAAAGCTATTATCGAGGGCCTGGATTCAACAATCATTTACGTATATACTTGCGAATCTGTACATCTTAATCTTTGGCGGCTTTGTTTATACTTAAAAATTTGGAGCTCCAAAAGACTAGTAGACTATTTAATATTTGTATGGGAAGTTTCGATGATCGTAAACAGATTAATTAATGTAAACAATGCCGCCAAAGTTTGAGAAAAGATATACATGTTCGTGCGTAGTTGCGTAAACGCATTTCAAACCCTGGCCGAGGGCACTGCGAAGGTCAACTGCAATAAAAAACTTATGTTGGTGCATGAAAATGAACTGGCGTAGAATACAAAATTGAATAAACCCTCAGTTCTGATAATGCACTCCCCCCCCCCCAGATTATAGAACTAGTTTGACTAGAAGGTGTCTAGTATACAACGGTTAGAGAAATGCATGCAATAATTTAATCTTTACATACCTTCCAATAAGGGAAAGGGAGAGTAGTCTTTTGACAAAACCCGAGCATGAACAACAATGTACACAAGTCCCCACAGTTAACCGACAGCACACTAGGAACTGCACTGGATGACAGTTACATAGGATTAATGTACTTAAAGTTCATTTTTTCAGTGTCGTGCTCTATTACAGTCATTAAAACGAATCGGATAATTAAAACTATATAAATTTCACATTTTAATGCTTTTGAAATATTACATTTAGAAAAGTAAGATTCAGATATCACTTTACATGCAGATGTATACTGTACATGTAATACCCGTGTCTGAAATTAAGTCATTTGTATTTCACAAGCCACTTATAATATTTTCTGAAATCGAGAAAACGATTACAAAGTAAGTAAGTAAGTAAAGTTTGGAGTGCCATTAAGTTTATTTATACCATAATTGTATAAGAGGCTTTATAAATGTTTTAATTATGACCGCATTTCTAGAAAGGTAAATGACCTAATTGACTAGTAAAGAATTTAGTCCACTTTTGACATTTGAATTATGTTTTCACTGCAATAGGAATAGTAATTTGACCATAATTACATGTAGTTTTGCACACCTGGTCATAAAATCAAATTATTGGAAACAGTTGCGCACGTGTTCTTTTTCTTGCATGCGTCAAAATTATACATCTGGTATTTAAGAAATTCTTGCAAAAGAAAAGTATTCATTCAACAATCACTAACTTCCTACAACTAAAAAAAAAAACTAAATACTTTCACGTTTCTAACATCTTAGGATAATCCAAGCTGCTTTTGCATAGTCATTTATCACTAAAGGATTTAAGGTAAAGATTCGGGTTAAAAGCTAGTTCCTGCTTCAAGGAACATTAGACACAGCTTCCAATTATCATACAGCACATGACATTAAGACATGTACACTTCAGAACAAAACTTTTATCTTGTCTTCTGGATATATACCTATAATAATTGCTATAGAATAAAGGCACAAGCAACTCTTATACATTTTGGAACAACCAAGTACCTACATTCTACAGCACAGAATATTTCGGGATTAAATACATTAAAAGATTAATTTGCCCAGCCTAAATTATGATGAAGTTAATACAAGTGGGACAATACAATATTAAAAATTCAATAAACAACCTGTATTCGATATTTATGTTAACTTACCAGTCTGAGTCTTGTGTAATGGTTTTAAATAACTTAAAATCAATGCTTATCTTGATTTCGGGGCTTAGCGATCCCGCGGCCCGGTCCTTGACCGAGCCGCCTCTTTGTTACACACCCCCAGGAAGCAGCCCGTAGCAGCTGTCTAAATCCCAGGTACCTATTTACTGCTAGGTGTACAGGGGCATCAGGGTGAAAAAGACTTCCCATTTGTTTCCGCCTCTACCCGGGATCTAACGCGGAACCTTAGAATTACGAATCCCAAGCACTATTAACTCGACTGTCAGGCCCCCATAGGGTAATCATTAAATTCTCTGTAGTATACTTGTAGTACTACAACCTATATCGGGTCCTGTAATGCAGTGGCTTCGTTCTCGATTCATAATCGGGATCGTGGGTTCGATCCCCCAGGCGGAACAAATTGTTGGGCATGTTTCCTTTCACCCATTGCCTCTGTTTACGTAGTAGTAGATAGGTACCTGGAGTTGGGCAACTGTGATAGGGTTATATTTTTTGAACGGTCAGTTGTTGGACCTAGGGAGGTAGGGAACTTCCATACAAAACTACAGACTGTGTGCTCGAGACATTATAATCACACACACACACAGGCTTCCTGTCCCCCTAACAATGAGAATTATAACTTATTCAACTTTGTCGATACATTCTTAATAATAATGTTGGGTCACAAATAAAGCTTCAACAGTGTAGACTTGCAGTCGTTTGTACAGCAGAAACTTATCATCCGAGAACCAATGATTTCCTGCAAAGAAAATATTCCGGTCAATTTAGAAATAAAGAAAAAACATGCAGTCTTTTATACAAATTCCCTCCCCCCCCCTTTCTTCTCACATTTGACATGAACGTAAGTAAATTACCAAAACAATGCACTAAGTTGGAAATGGTAGCAAAGTATAAAGTCTAGTTTCATTGCGAAAGGCACACCAAGTGCCTTTTTCTAAACAAGTCTCTTGACATTTTAATCGAGACACTAATATTAGGGGGGAGAGGGGAGGTAAAGTATTGGGACGATCCCAGGACCACCACTGTTGTGCAATTAGCGAAGACTTGTGGAATATCTATAAACTAGATTTTCACCTACTCAACCTCGTTGAGGTTGAAGAAACACTCTTCTAGCTGTGGAATATAAAGAGTTAAACGAACAAAAGTGGATGGAAGTAGTGAAAGTTGTGCAGGCATCATATTCAAGGTTTGTGGAAGTTCGAAGAGCTGAGGAAAAAGCAGTTATAGGAGCAAAAAAAAAATAAAAAATAAGCAGAGGGTGTATAGTATGAAGGCTGGTCGAGGGCAATTAATAGTTTGATTTCTTGTTGTCTAGGACATTAAGCCTGTTTGGCTAATCTAGATCCCCCCTAGCAAACTATTGACCCTCAAGATTCAGTTCTACAATCTAGTAGCTTTCATGAACATTTATACCCCATTTATTGTCTTTTTGAAGAGGCAAGGAAATTTAATGAAATTGGTCACACTGAGCAAAATAAAGACCTCCACATTTTGTTGATTAAAAGTCTACCCCAAAGAATACCTTCAAATACATGAAAGAGACAGGATATTAAATTGACAAGAAACCTTAACACAAGCATCACAGCCCAAGAACACATGCATACACTGTAGTACGAATTTTCAGAACTCTGGTAACACGTCTTTCACTATATTACTCATTTATTTATACATACTTATACATACATATGCATGGAACTACCACCACAAACCCACCACCGACCAAAACAATATTCGGTTGTGAGAATTAAAATTCCATAGTCAAGACTTAAAAAATACAGTCCCTTTTGTCGAAATCCCTAAGCAAGCTTAACTATGCTTTAGTTTTTCCATTTACAAAACCCTAGACTTCACATCATTCCAGTCTGTATGCAGACATGTCATGGAAAAAATATAGAACCAAGTGATGTCGACACGTTTTAATATTAGGTCTATAGTTTTAAAACTACAGTAAACGCTTAAAACTAGTATTGTGTCAACTTTCAATTACTGCAAATTGCTTATACATAACAATGTTACCTTCAAGACTTCACAGAAACGTTGTGTCAGTGACTTTGCGTAAAAGTATATTTATTGCTTCATGGATACCATAGGAAAATTTAAGTAATGACAATGCACACAAGGATCTAGAATCCCACCTAGTTTCTACAGCCCCGCTCCTGTGCCAATAAGTCCACTACGGGTTCACCATAGCCCGTGCTACTATGAACTTTGTTTCAAGTAGCTGAACCTAAAAAAAAAACTAGTTCATTGCACAAATAAATGCCTCAAAATATCAGTGACGTCTTAAAAATTATTCGAATTAACCGTATAGGCATCTGTTTACACCAAAAATCTATCGCGATCTAAAATTCTCCATAAAAAATAGCTTTTCAAAATGCAATGAAAGCTTAGTAATTTCTATACTAGACATTTTAGAAAAACCGATACAAAGTATAGTGTACTACCTCTACAGTAGCTGTACCCTTAGTATTGCAAGAAGTACATCAGGAGAGGCAGGAGGATGAGGAGTGGGTTCATGAGTTTGGTGACAGCAGAGTTGCAGTAATCGTCATCACAACATTCTATCACCTTCGCTTGTGTATCATCCGGAACGTTAATACCTAAAATTATTGCAATTAAGAATCTGTAGATTTAATTCGTGTATTGCAAATAAAAATGACTCTAATTAGGATTTTCATACGAAATCAAGACCAGTTTTGGAGTACCGTACTTTTAACATGCATTCCAAATATTATCATTTATGGGTACAATTTTGACTTAGCAGCACAATTATCAAAACTCGAAATTTTGGCCTAACATTCTGATGGAAAAATTGTACTAATGTAAAGCTAAACATACACAAAATTAGCAAGAGTGTACTAATCAAATGTAGGTAAAACATTTTATAATGTTCTTAAAATGTTACAATGAAAATTTAGTTTTAACTTTATGATTTAACCTAATACAACTAAAGTCATACAAGCAATAAGACACAGATTTCAATTTGTTTTGCTTTGAACCAAAATTAAAACTTGCCTGTATTGCTAAACCAATTCTTCACAGAATTCCAAGCATTGACAGCACCATGTTCAATTTCTTTCAGTTTGCAAACTCTATTTTGTCCACAAATCTTCGCTATACGGCCAGCAAAATCAATTTTCTGAAATTTAAAAATTTGATGTTAATGTTGTTGTTACCAAATTGAATATGTATAGCATTGGAAATTTCCTCCATTTAAGCCTCTAGTCCACTTAAGTAATTAATATGTACATAAAAATCCCATGTCGGGATACTAACCATGCAAACATCGGCATCTTCACCACAATCAATAACTGTTCCTCTAGAGTTACCACAGTCGTTGCAGTGGTAACATTTTAGGGCCGAGGTCACCGACACCAGTGTTACCAACACCACAACACTTGTCCACTGCATCATCATTTTCGTGTATGGCCGTGAATTTGCGCTTCCTTGAAGTTAATCTGAAATTAAAATCATAAATCTTTAGACTGCAAATGAAATTAGGATTTACCAATTAGGCTATTTAAAATGTTTTTTTTTAATTGTCAACTAAAGTACTGTAGTTATGTAAATTTTCTGCCCATTTCTCTGTAGACCAAGTTACCTTTCACCTATCTTCTCTAAAACTAAAAATGTGTAACTATTTCTATTTGTGCCATATCAATATAAAATGTCTTAAAAAGTATGCATCACTAGCTATCAAACTAATACAATTCATTACTTATAGTTTAAACACTTTGCTTAGATCTGTAGGACTATTATGTTTGAAAATATACTAGATAGTTTCCAAATTGCCAAATCTAGTATACAAAGTCTTTTCTATAAAAATATTCTAGCATAAGGAGAGTTTAGTTTACAGAACGTAACGCCACCCACACATAATTTATACTTGTCACTTTTTGTAATCGTCTTTCAGTAGCACACACTGCAGCTTTAAAAAATATATTTGTTTTTTAATGTATTCTCACTGTTTGGTTAGCACGACCTGCGTACCGAGTATTGTCTCGCCTATTAGCCATGCATCTACACTAAAGTGTAGGGCTCAGCACTCCTCCTATAAGTGCCCATGTAAAATAAGTATTCTTAACGCTTTTTTGCCACTACTTATGATACACATCTGGACCTTTTCCCACTACAGGCAAGTCAGTGTGGAAGTTCGCATTTGTTTTCTGCTAGTGTTATTGACTGGGTCCATCAACCTTAAACAGTTTAGCAGTAGGCAACTGAACTTTGCCAGGCGAGCGAGATTATTTAAAATTCCTAATTAAATTAATCTATGTAAATTACAGTAAAATCTTAACTAATGTGAAATACTGTATGCAAATCGTTATGCATGGGGAATTTTGTCACATGAAATAAAGGGGGTGAATAAAGCAGCAAGCAAAATTGCAGGAAGCCGTTTTAAATTTGCATACGAGATGCTTAATACGTGTCTAGTTATTTAATGTAAGGTGCTAAACAAATTAACGTCTGAAATAATTTAACTTAATTCAGGGCTTTAATAATATAAATGTAACTACCATGTCTGAAGCCGGTCGAGAACCTGTTTTCGCCACAGAATGGCAAGGCAAGCAATGTTACACGACTTAAAAGGTTACCATGTGGATCCCAATTGGGGTAAGTTGTCGAGTATAATTGATTGTTGTGTTTGTACGCGATTCAGTATTAATGATAGGCGATTGATGTATAGGAAATTAGTGGCAGTAGCAAGGTTGTCTTAAAAGTGAAGCCTGTTGAAACATGTTTTTAGAGAATTTCACAACCTGAGCAGCAACATGCTAGTAGAGTATCCACGATTATCTAAAGCTACGTTAGGGCGCTTTGTAGCACCAATTATATTTTTATATTTCCATCTTTTAAAATTTATTAAAGTGACAGTTGTAACTAATCAGAATAAGACATGAAAAATTTGCGTCTCTGGCGATATAGTCTGAAGCCCTGCCTACCAGCTAGATTTAAATTCAGTAGTATGCTAGCCTGAGGACGAGTCGGACGTGAGCATAAGTCAAACCGAGTATTTGATTTTCTACAAATATTCACCCCATACCCATCCCGTGGGTAGTAGTGGAAAAAGAGGCACATAATGAGCTCAGGAACTGAACCCCATTACCAGAATATTTACTTATTTCCGTTAATAGGGCATACAGTAGATTAAAGTTCATCGATTCATTGAATAACAAAGGTAAGAGTTGCAGGCGATGAGTCGCAATAACGTGGCTAAAGTATGTTGACCAGACCACACACAAGAAGGTGAAGGGGAAAGGAATATCGACTTGAGAATGGTCCAGGGTGTATCGACTTGAGAATGGTCCAGGACGGACCGAAACGTCGTCGTCCCTTCCCCTTCTAGTGTGTGGTCTGGTCAACAAAGGTAAGAGTTATTATCACTTGCGTAGCGAATTAGAAAATTACTTATCGCCACCGGTTTAGTGACAGTACCCAGACTGGGTTAATTATTGGGGTTTACAGAGTGCCTATTTTATCATAAGTTTGTGCCCTGCTATACCCAAATATCCTGTTTGCTGGAGCGGGAAATTACTGGCACAATTGCGAGATTAACATAAATTCCCCAGTGTAGTTGGTATTATTGCTTTGTTATATTTTCTGGTTTACATCAGTCGGCGAGTTGGACTTGCTACCATTGTCTCGCGCATCGATTAGAACATTAAGGATCATTCGATATTCAGCAGAAGGCTGGATAAACCGGGCCTTATGATGGCCATTTTGATTGGATAAACCAAGAAGTCGTAACAGTTAGCATTGTTAAAAGATCTGGAATGTAAGCAGTGCTTTCATTTCATTCTATAAGCAAGTCTGCATAAGCTATTACGAATGTATCAAATTTGGAGGCTATGAAACGGTTCTTTAAAGTTCCTGAAATCGATACTTTCACAATGTTTGTTCAATAACCCTCTGCTGGAAGTCTATCAAACACGGGCGTAAGGAGAGAATCTGAGCCACTGCTGTCTTTAGTTTTTATTTGTATCCGTAAATGTTTCTTCATTGCCAAGATTCCCTAAATTCCTATTGTAGTATTCTGCCTCACCACCAGAAAGTTTAATACTTACTATTTTATATACATCAGTTTTATTTCATTCTTTATTTATATAAGCTCGCAAATTTTATCCATAAATGTCAGATTGTGAAAGTATCATGGGAACGGGTTTCAATCATTGTATACCGAACATTTACACGTCCACCTCATATCCGGCAAGTGGAATTTATATTTATATTACAATGTAAATTAAATTTTAAGTTATCAATACCATTAAAAACAGTAAAACATTCAATATATAGGCAGTTTCTAAAACCTTAACATATTTAATAATGTTACATCGCATATCATCGTCTTTGGTGGCCTTATCTAGGTCGATCCCCGTAAAACGGGTGTGTTTCACCACCCATTCAATACTGGTCTCATTTAGACTATGTATGTACCCGCTACACTGACCATTTTTGAATACTTTTAACTTAGTTACAGGAACATTCAAATTATAAATTCAAAACGAAAACCTAAATATCCGGAACCAAACTGAAATAAAGCCATTCAAAAGTATCCATATTAAGGAAATCCAAGGGAAAAATAAGCAAAACAATGAACTATGAACAGTAGTGTAGGGGTTGGTGGGGGTCACAGTAATCAGGTTAAGTAGCACAGTCAGCGAGCTAGCCTGCGGGAGGTGGCGGCTGGCCTCGCACCGCCAGTCACGCAATAGTTCACCTACAAAACAGTAAATTGTACTATGTAGCCTCACGGTGTTGGAGTTTCTTTATAATTGATAATTAGCAGTTAAAATATGCTAGACTTAACCGCAATATAGAGGGGGTTGGTGGTCAATAGTTACTATAACTTAAGCCAAACCAAGATCCTCGCAATCTTAGTGATGATTAAAATAGACCAAAGCTAAAACGACAGTCTTCAGCACCTGGTAATGAAGATAGTGTTAAACTGCAACTTAAATCTGACATTGTAAGAACATATTCATGGCCTATTACGATTATATTGGGAACGACCCAGCTAATAACAAAAGTACTATACAACCCATTCTGTAGTCTCCAGAACCATTACAATATGGCAGTTTATTTCCAGAAACAGACTGCTACCAAGATCTGTAACCAAGTCAAACTGTATTGTTTTAATATCTTTACCGAATTAAATGTGATGAATTATAAACCAAATTTAAATTTGTTAAAGGAAGTTTGTGATGTAGTCTAGTGAATATGCAAGTTAAATTATGAGATTAGCTCACCGCAAATGTAAGTTACTTAGCTTAGAGACTATTTGTGGGCGTTCTCTAACCCATTGTCTATATATACATTAAACTAACTAGCTTATCAAAACTAACTTGCTTAGCTAAAAAAATTTTAGGGTCCAGTTTGAGCCCATTAAGTACCCCTAATCTCACCCCCCTCCTACACGATGGGTATAGAGTACATAATAAATGAATTAAAAACTGTACTTGTATAGTTTTGTGGCAAAACCTCATTCAAACCGAGAGGATGGCATTAGTCGGCTCTACTTTCCACTTTCTCTGGCGACCTCTGTCTAAATCGCCCGTATTCTGGAGACCTTGTAACAACGCCAAGTTTTTTTTACTTCAGTTTATAGTACAATTTTTGGAATTACAAATTTGCTTAGCCTAAATATGCGGTAATGAACCAATGGAGCCTGAAACCTTTAATGATCCATGGTTGAGATTAACATTAACGTACAATTAAGTACAGTATTTGAAACCGCTATGTTGGTTTAATTCTGTACCCTGGGTGACTATACAAGTATACCCTCGATACCGGGTTTGATAGTCACTGATAGCACAAGGTTTTAACAGCAACGAAAATTACAAAGTTCATTAGCAGGCGATGAGTCACAATAACGTGGCTGAAGTATGTTGACCAGACCACACACTAGAAGGTGAAGGGACGACGACGTTTCGGTCCGTCCTGGACCATTCTCAAGTCGATGAGAATGTTCATCAAGTTAAAATTACACTATTTAAGGACTTAACATAGAAATTACAGTAAAGCACCCGCGTTACAAAGAGTTCATGTAATTACACACCAATGTAGCAAATTGTACAATATTCCGACGCTTTGAAAACACTAAAGCCCTAGGAATACATCTAGTGAATCAACACCTCAGGACAAGGCGAAAGTTAAGTGTCAAAATTGTAAGAGCCTTTTGAAATAAAATTTACAACTAAATTTTAAAAGCGATTGTACAATTTCTAAAAAACATTAGTTAATTCTTTTAGTGGGGGAAAAATTCAGAGAACCTATAGCGAGAAAGTTTAGCAACTTTCCACATTATATATGTTTCTGTACAGAGACTTACTGGCGTTATACAAGTACAATGAAAAGGAGATTGTTTTATCGATTCCAAACCATTATTTGAGCATTTATACAAGATGAATAAATGTTGCGTAAAGTCACAGTTATACAAGAAATCTTCAGTCAAACCGAA